TGCAAACCTGAGATCCCGTGTTGGGAATACAGTGTATTAATAACTCTGAAATGATAAGGTACTTCATAGAGTAAGAAACATAGAACATGAGATATCTAGAATGAGATATCTTGTAAGGATGTATAGCTATGTGCAGTATTTTAAGCTAAGGATACTGGGTAAACTGTCTAGTCGACTCCACATCATCGAGGGTGGGCCGGTGGTTGYTTAAGGTGGTTCTTCACTAATTTTGTTTCCTTTCTTCATTTCTATCTTTCATTCAATTGGTAAATTGCCAAGCCCTAGGGTATTGTATACGTGCAAGCTATCAATATAAACTATGATCCTCTGCCTAAAACAGTTGTCTTATCTAGAAGATGGGGTGGTAAGATTAACAACGAACGTAGCTTATAGTGAGTAGCACGAATAACTGCACATGACCGTAAAACCAGAGAAAAGCATCCTACAATTAGATATGCTTACTTATTTTCAACTAAAACTGATACTACAGTATTTCTTGAAAGAAGGGACAATAAAACAATTAGCAACTTTCAAAGCTGCAACTTCCAGGCGAAGACACTTGTAAAATATTGGCTATTTTTCCACTGAATTCACAATGTGCTCAATGGTCCATACTGTTTTAAATCTCGTGTTTACGAAATCGCGGACGGACCGCGCTATATCAGGTCAGATCTCGATGATATATTTTGATAGCATAGTGTCTCTGTTCACTCATGCTATTAGCTTATCCATGTCATAGATCTCTTAAATAACATATAACGAATCTATAGAAAAAATGCTTTATCATGAAATTAATGCAATTAAGAAATCTAATAATCGATTCTTTGTCAAAACTGACTTTGGTGGAACATGTCATTAAGTTCTGATTAACTATAGTGAAGGGCCGTTTGGGAGAAGTGCACGGTTGCTTCAAGGAAAACGAGTAGGGTTAGTGCTGTAATGTTGTCAAGAGCYATAGGAAGTGTTTGAGATAATTCGCTAAACTCGAGCACATGGCTTACTTTTATAAGGCAATCTTTTTATAGAAAGCGTATCACAATGAATAGAATTGCACACTGGGAGTCCAGCCCCTGTAGAGATATATGAATGTTTTTGAAAGTCAATCAAAGGCGACTATTATCTGTCAATAATAGCCTACTACAACGTGGTCACGATATCTCAGAGAGTTTGTGATTGGGACTATTAAGAGTCCTAGAAAGTGATTTTGCTTGAGCTGTCTGGTGTGCTGTATTCGTAAACGTTCGTTATGGTAAGACCACTAACCGAGACTAAATTATTATGGCTTCGCAAACAGATGTATTAGAAGTATTGTTTCGTCTATTATTTTAATGGAGTTTATTTTTAGTGTGTTTTCGACATTTTTCTCTTTTGTTCTGTATATTTGGTACATATTACTAGTTCTAAAGATAGACCCGATGCCCTTAAGCAGACTTTGAGTCCTTTAACTTCATTAAACAATTATATTTTGGTTATTAATTGAGATACGGTTGCTTGGTTGTTTTTCATTGGTTGTGAGATCTCTTTGTTATCAATCAATACACACATCCCGTTATATTGTATAAACTACTTCAAAACGGTAACGTGGCTTTCCTGACTATTTTTCTCTTCTTTTGACCTCATTCGTTCCGACGGGAAATCATATTTCTCTCTTAAAGAGACATGGTAACGAGAACGCATGGATTCAATCAACGTTGCTTTGTGCTATTGAACTTAGCTGCCAAGATTTGAGGCCTCGCTAAATTGTTTCGCTTGCGTCAAATTAACAGATCTCTGTGCCTTAGGGTTAGGTGAGTATCGCGGGACTATCGTTACGTACTTTGATTTCGTCACCTCACAAAGACGCCCTGTACTCCTGACCTACTACTTGGTGAGCATCTGTTCACTTTGAGTTCTCCTCTCTCATCGACAACTCTTTCAACTGCACACTTACTCCACTGCTAATTCTCCAGYTAAGACACWAGCGGTTCCTAATAAACCAATCACTATGTAACCAGGTTGTTCGACGTCATTTCAAGGACATGTTCCAYGTTGATGGCCGAGGTAATTCTAATGAACAAGTACGAGTATCTGTTACAGTCCTTTATCGGTCGTTTACATTATACTAGCCGACCAAGAGTGAATACTCGCTTTATCACGTTCAACCAAGTTTCATTGTCAATGGTGTACTTTTATGGACTAATTCTGTTATATCCATCATAATGCCGAGGCGTGTCAAAACGCACTGAAGAAAGGGAGATTTTGTCTTCTATAAGTGGATGTAGTTTTCGCTTGACTGCAGGCCATAAGCTCTTCATCAGAAAACAATTTCAACCTCATCATCGTAGACCAAGTTTTGACTCTTTGTTTTCTTTCTCGATGGTAAACAAACAGTATTAATTGCTTTACGATTGAGTTTAAGTGGTTTCTTATAGTTTAACTGGATTATAGCTTTTAAAAATTCAGCCACAATCCGKACCACAATCCTRCATTTCCTTCCTTTGTTGTGACTTTTTGGTTCAGTGTTCAGCATCGAAATTACTTTAGCAAATTRCACTGGATCGTRTTTGTCTTCATAATTTGATGTTTTGATTTTCAATTGCAGATCATCCTTGAACCAGACATAGAGAAAAGCATACAGATATTTACTTTAGCTGAAGTTGAATTATGAATCTTGGACGAGCTGGAGAATTGTTATTGTGGCTGATCTTATTAGTTCCATCATCGCTGGCAATTCGTTGGCTGTAAGTATCTGTTCATAAAACTCTTCGCACTATATTCACACTCTTTTTGACACCTAATAAATACCCGATAAACACACAAATACTACGGAAATCTTATGGAATATTTTCTTTTCTTGTTTATTGTTATATTTATATAATAATTATTGTTATTGTTTATGCATCCAGAGGAATTCAGCATGGTTTAGACCACAACTGGAGAAAGAAAGATTGCAACAAAAGGCAAGGTTTTACTGGCAAACAGTACAGCATGTGTAGACGAAATCTTCCTATAATGAAGTATGTTCGAGAGGCGGTTGAAATGACTCGAGAGGAATGCGTTTATCAAATGCAGCAGCGAAGATGGAATTGCTCTTCTATACACAAGGCTCCGCGATACATGAACGACTTAAAACGAGGTGGGCAGCGATTGTTCGTGTTCATCTACAGTGTTAATGTGTTAATTATGAATTTAATGACTTTTTTCACTTGGTTAATGAAATTTTCTGGTTGGCAAACACGTGCAAATTAACTTAAGGCTTACAAACAGCTCAATATGTCATACTGATCTTTAGAATTTCGACAGTTACATAACTGGATACCTCGTTTTCGCATAACGCATCATCTTTTTCATTATCAAAGCCACGAGGCCTCACAACATCTACTTATACTCCCGTTTTAATTGTTTCTGCAAACAATAAAATCGTACTTTCTGGAAATTTCTCGGCCATCCTAAAATGGATGCTGTCAAAGGTTATTTACCGAAGATAATATATGATGTGGACGCCATACTGACTAAGCTTTATTACTCGGTTGTTATTACCACTCGGTTTTGTCACTCAATCGTACTCGACATTTTTGGATACCAGTGTAGTGTTCACTCGTTAATCGCACTTAGGAGCCCCTTGATGTCCTTGATATTGAATTGCAGTTATTTCTAGTAGATTTACAGGAATAAAAGCAGGCGAAAGAGGATTTTAAACCAAGATTAGTCCCTTTTTAAGAAAGATTTAGGTTTTAGTTTGTTGTTATAGCACGATGCTGTTGAAATTCATGGGATGAGCAGTCAACGATACCTTTGTTTACTTTTTTCATTATCGTTATAAAGAGACTGAAAAAAAAAACTAGTGCTTGAAGTCATGATTAAACCAGTAATTGGGGTCATTGACTTAATAAATAGCTTGATTGTTTTTTTATATATGGAGGCTGGTTTTTGTCATGGTGTGTTTCCTTAGAACTAAACAGCCACGGAATTCCTTAGGAAACCGCTACACGAATACATCTTTATTAGATAACAGTGAAATGTTGTTGACAACCCCAAAAACATTGTAATAACTACTAGCTTCAATTCTTTAGTTTCACATTACCACAATTTAAGCTTACCATGAAATATTTCTGAGTATAAAAAGAGAAAATGTTTGTATAGAATTGAAATAATAATGACTTCAAAGGTCACTGAGGTGGTTATTTGCAGCTCCGCGTCGCCATCGGGCAATAAGCTCAGATTTTGGTGATGTTTAAAGCATTGCTGAGTATTTTTACTGATATACTTAATATTGTTATGCCATTTTGCTGTTATCCGCAAGCCAAATCACCGAGTTATTTGTGCACATATTGCTAACATGCAATTGTCAAAATAAGAAAATATATTGGCAAGCAAAATCAATGTCAAAAAGTGGTCAAAAGTAATATCAAACATCGATGATTCGGATCGACATGAAATTTGACCCATTTTCCCGTTTCTATTTCTTTGTATTCGTTGCCGCAACACCTATCTCGATTAGAGTTTACATTTGGCTGCAATTTGCACGGCTAAATTGCATGTACCGATTCGTCTTAAGTTCGCCCCGACATTCAACAATAAACAGATGTCTAGCTTACTTTGGAACATATTGTGGACTCGTGTGCTTACAACCTGGCGAGCATCATTTGATGAATACGGTTGTTTTTTCACATCACACCTGGTCAACAGAAGTGTMGAWAGTGYTTTTTTTTTTTCCTACAAGTTTAAAGACAAGTTTAAAAACGTGGAAGGGTGCAAAGGTGGGTGGGTAGGAGGTGGAACAACGTGAAGGGGGCAAAGTTACTATAAATGATKTGGCTGTTGAATTTGYTCAAGCAATGATGATAAAATTCATTTGCTTAATAATAAAACTGATTATGATATTTAAACATTTTTTCTCAGGAACCAAAGAAGCAGCATACGTATATTCACTGTCAGCGGCTGCCGTTTCATACTCTGTAACACAAGCGTGCAGCACACGACAACTCGGGTCAATATGCAGTTGTGGACGAAATCCACGAATTCGACTGAAACGAAAGGACCAATGGCAATGGGGTGGATGCAGTGATAACATAGCTTATGGGACAAGATTCAGTAAGAGATTCACTGAAGCCGTCGAGAACCATCGAATGAAGAAGAAGAAAAGTGCAGACCAGACGCTCATGAATATTCATAATTCAGAGACTGGACGAAGGGTGAGTACGAAGAATCATTGGCTACTAGTTGTGTGCTATAAGTATACACCCTTTTAATAAGTCCCGAGGTATTACGTTCTCCGCACTTGACGTCAAATTTATTCTTTTGAATTTCTTTTGTATTGTAAAAATTTCAAAAGAATAAATTTGACGTCAAGTGCGGAGAAAACAATACCTCGGGACTTATTAAAAGGGTGTATAGACTTCGAATACTTTTAACTCAATACAAGCGCGTCTACGAAGCTCGACATCTAATGTTACAATGATGGGATTCTTTGAGGGATATAGATAGGATAACGAACGATTATAGGTCAATTCAAAGCAACTAACATAACCCATCCTCATCGTACTCACAGTAGTTTAGTATCGACATTCTGGTGAAATTGTCAAAACAGAACGCGCCAAAGATATTTCCCAGCATGCTTTTCTGTATTTTAATCAATTAAACATATTTTGTACATTTTTTGGGAGTCGTCATATTTTTCGTGATTACATAAATATCTACTTCAAGAGTGATAAGAGGCCACTTCCGGTGTCCTTCAAACTCAGACTTGATGTACGACGTACTCAAGGGAAACCTTTGCCGACACAGAAGCCGGTACATTGGATTTTTCTGTTGCAAAGGAAATCATCAAACGTTCTTCAGGACAGGGTGATATCTTGCGTAAGGTCTCAGATAAATTGGCCATGATACCTCGTTATCTGTGCTGTTTGTTTGTTTTTATTTGTTTACTTTCCACTTTATGTTTATTTATCAAGTACTTGAATTGCTTATCAATTAGCGCCTTAGAGTATCAAAATATCGCATGTGATTTTCACTTTTTGAGTCGAACGAACAAAATCATTGGCAAATACCCAAGAATCATAGATCTTGTTTTAACCGTTAATCAAAATCTTATGTAATTTGAGACAYGACCTTTTTTCTTCAAGATGGCTACTTTAACTGTTATCTTAGTTTCGTCCTTAATTTCCCTCCTCTTCCATTTCCTTCAATTGTTGATTTTGTACTTTCGAAAAGGCTGTTCCAATACATTATCACATTCTTGAGGTCTGATAAAGATGTACATTCATTCCAGTACAACATCTGACTCTCATCCTGTTAAGGATCTATCTTGTTTTGGATTGTTTTCAAGCGATAAATGCTTCCAGTCCGCAATGACCACCTTTGGCGACAACCAGCTTGGCTCAGTAAAAATCTAACGTCCACAAGATGGTGTTGCAATCTTCGTTTACCCTTAAAGTATTTCTTAATCAATTCCTGCATCTATAAATTCCGTGTTGCGTATATTCCCTTCTGACTAAGGAGTGGGACTATTTYGCTAATCAGTAAACATTTTGATCGCACTTCAGCTGTCCATTCATGATTTGAGACTGAGTGTTTAGTCGATGATGGTGTATTTTGTGATAAGCTCTACTGCGTGTGTGGTCATTATCCAACTTTAACTCATCATTTTAATAGTTTTATACATACACCTACTTCCAAATGAGGTCGTTGAGAGTAATGGCCCACGACAATTGTCGAATGGAGGCGAAACCGAGGAGACGCGGCGGCTGGAAGTTAATATGGAAGTAGTTTCAGAGTCATGTGGAAAATTTATTATTGCTGAATACTTTCTCTCTCTCTCTGTAATTGCACATCAACTAATGTAACCTAAGCTTCTTCAAATATCGTGCAATCTTCCATTTGACTATTTTTTCCATTTCCATTTCCAAGTAGTCTCTTTTTCATGTTTTTGAACGAGAATTATTAACATAAAACGTCTTCTTGCAACTTGACTCTCTATGTAGGATTTTATAAAGACTATTAATGTAGCAATACAGGTATATAGGTCCAATAGCGTTTTTTGAATCGTGAATTTAAGCACGTGATATCTTTCACAAACTGCAGTAACCGGATGTTTTTCTGTACATTCTGTAAGTACGAGGTTGGCTACTTGAGCGTGGCCGGATGACATATCTATGTGTTATTTCCAGTAGAAGGAGTGTGGTTTATTATCATGATCGTGCACATATTGCTGTATGTCAAAGGAAACGAAATAATTTGCGGCTAACTAAAAAATTCAAAAAAAGATAACCAGACCTCCAAATTATCATCTAATTCAACAATCCACACAAATTCTTATAGAATGCAATATTGCATGCTTATAACTCTATAAAGTATACATCTGTTATAACAGTTTCTTGTGACAATTGATGGGGACATAAATGGAGTGGTAATCCGACAGTCTCTACAATATGGAACCCCCTAGTTCGGTCCCAGGGTAGTGTTTACAATAAAGTACTATATTTCCGGCTTGGAGTAATGCTCGACATTTGCAGAAAAGACAGATTGATCAACTTTAACGCTGTTTTAAATATTTGGAAGTCTGATTAATATATAAATGATACTCAAATGTGACATATTTTGTCTGGGATCCGAGCATGCGTGTATAGATCGCCCAAGCAGCACACAGGCAGCCTATCCTAGAATAACATAAAATGTAGCTTTTGATTTTGTTTATTAAGTTTGCTTATTGTGGCTTAAGACATTTACACTCAATATGTCTCACAAGATGCTCACATATATTACTTCCCTTCTCTTTCGATCCATGTATTGGCGCCAAGCTATATATCGTTCGATCCCGTGTGGATAAACTTTTTGATTCACTGTAAGAGTTAGATTGCGGCAGTCTACACGTTCGGTCTGTGTAAAAACGCTTTCGAGGGAATGCTATTCAATCTTGTACAAATCTGGCAGGTGATGTCAAAATTGAAGTGAAACAAAATCGATTCGAGCATACCAAGACATAATGAATTGGTCTTCTGAGAAATCTACACGATAGTCACTTGTCAGATGGTGTGGTCGATAACGAAGGCTAGGTCTCATTGTCACACAGAGCACTATAGTCAGACTTCGTCTGCAACACGTGAGCTCTGCAAAGAAAATGTCAATTACTAAGTAATCATTTCAAAAGGAAACGAAACGGAACGCATTTCATGATCAACTCAGGAAGTACAGTAAGATTTAACGACAAATGTGTTTTAAATATATGAAGCTTTTACTTCATGCTAATATTTTGCGGCCGACTCATTAGTTTTGTCTAGAACGATAAATCATGGGACGAAGCCATATGTGAGCTTACTTTAAACATATGTTCTTCCATATTGCCAGATATCCTGTAATGGTTGTACTCACCTGAATGAGATTACAACTACAGTTCTGACTACATCAAATTAGTAGATGATTTGCACGCAGATATCATTCCAAATTATGGGATGCCGAAAGGCAAAAGAATATTTAAAAAATCTCACTTTCTCCAATAATTGTATGCTTTGAATTATATCGTTTGTCGACCAAAACAACCATATGTTATACTTGACTATTTTTAGTTGATGCTGTAACTGAAAACAGTGTGATGGCTTACCAGGTCCGAATCCCTTGATTTTCTCCAGGAACTGACTTTATAAGAATGTAACTGGATCGAACTTCCAAATATATAAGTATTTTCCAAAATTGCTCGTTTTCGGTCATTCCCATCAGATTCAAAAGATCAAAAGATCTTTTAGTAGAAGACCGGCGGTCATTTTGGATGAATGAACAATGAGAAATCCTTTGTTGAAGTTCAACCAAAATGGCCGGCGTGACTTTTGCAAACGAAGAATATTGTGATTTTTTTCTCAATCGTCCGCAGGATTTGAGCTCTATTTGCTAAACGGTTGTATAGAATATACAAAAGGAATCGGTTTTTTTTGTGTATATATATAGCATTGTCAAGGTCTTTGCTCTACAGGGATGGTACTTAAAAAGTCATTAGGAGAAACAATGCAAACATTGTACAAATCCTGTTAAAAACAAACATCTTTATTGTATCACTGGTATCTTTCCTTTTTTAAATAACTTTATTTAATAACTCCTCATGCGTACTTCATTAGTTTATTCCTATAATCCTTGTTGATTATTCGATCACAACAATAGCTTTATAACGACTTTTCCAGATTCCTTTTCACGACGTCATTCCACACGTCAATCAAAACAAACTGTCGCATGGTTTTTCGTAAATCCGTAAAAGTGCGCACAAACTTGTCGCCGATGGATAACTTAGTTGCCCAATCGTAGTGTCTTGATTCGATTCCCATTAACCTCTTTTAGCGAAACAGGGTGAACATCGGAAAATTGGCACCCGTCCTTGGCCTTTGAGCACAAGGTCACCGAAGAATAAGAGGCGGCGGCGTTTCTAAATGTTGGTGAAGATTTTATGAGGCACGCGTACTCGTTATGATTTACAAAATCTTAAGCACGCAGAGTAGCAGACTTATGTTAGACGGGTGAAATAGAGATACTAGTATGATCAGTAAGATACACTATGTCATGAAAAGGTGATAGACTTGTCACTTAGACAGCCTAGTTTGCTTATATCTTTAATAATCATGTTGTTTTTTTGTGTATTTTTTCAGGCTGTACGAGATCATATGAAAGTTCATTGCAAATGCCACGGAGTCTCCGGAAGCTGCAACGTCAAGACTTGCTTTCGTCGTTTGGGAGATTTCAGAGAAATTGCTAAATTCTTACGAAGAAAATATGACAGAATCATTTACGTGAAAAAGGAAAAGAGTAAGAGCAAGACCAAAAAAGACAAACGAAAAAAGAAAAATGACATCACAGTAGATGAAAAAGAAAAGAAGGAAAAGGAGAGAAAACAGGAAAAAATTTCATTGAAATCGAAGGACCGCAAAGGACGTAAATACACTACCAAAGATCTTATTGCTCTTAGCCGTTCACCATCCTACTGCAGAAAGGATAAAAGAAAGGGGTCTTATGGTACTAAAGGACGAATTTGTAATCCTAAAATGAGAGGCGGCAAAGGAAGCTGTAATTACATGTGCTGTGGTCGTGGTTATCGCAGTAAAACTGTTACCAAGGAAGAACGCTGCGAATGTCAATACGTCTGGTGTTGTTACGTAAAGTGCAAAACGTGTACAAAGCGAGAACGTGTTTATCGATGTAAATGAGCATGCTCGTCCACGGAAACCGCTGTAAATTAACATGAAGCATTTTGAATTTCTCATCAGCATGGTAATATTATGGGATRTAGTTCAATGACCAACTAGGAAAAAGTGGCGGGTTTCCTGTGCTAACTATCTAATTGACGCAATGTGTTATATATTTCGAGATTGAGCATGGATTTGTCGTAGTTTCGCCTGACGCAGATATGGAACAAGCCATTACGTATAAGCACGTACAGATACGCTCCCTTCTATCTTCGCACGCAATGGTCACACAAACTGATACGTAACGTTAGTGTCACATATAACAACGAAGGATTTGCTTTACGTTATTGTACGTTGATCAACGAACACTATGCTGTGTACATGAGATGAGTGCTAGCCAAGTGGAGTTTCCGCGMMAAATCAGATAACTGGAAACAAACTACGCGAACAGCATAACGGATCCCTACACCATTTCAACAGAAGCATTTCACAATGTTTGGAATAAAAAACAACACTCATGCATTTCCATTTTGTAGTGTAATATAGACATTTGTAATTTTAGCTGAGTTGTATGATTATAATCAACAATATGATTACTTATATAAAATGGTCGGATTACACAATGAATATAAGTCTAAATGAAAAAAACGTTGTGACAAAAGAAACAACGGCTCCGAAACAACATCTTTTTGTTGCTGGGCTTAGAAAAGTAACATCGAGGAAGCTGTAAGACCTAATGGATTTTTGGGTACTGGGAAATTTATATATTAGTCATATTAGCCTAAAAAACATGTTAACATTTCTCGTACTACGAGAAATCTGAGATTAAACCATGATTATTAAATCGCTTTTGATTATTTGTCCATTTTGGTCTTAGCTTTTCGATGTACAACCTTTCTGAGCCTGAAAACGTATTTACAATTAGATGTATGCATGGATTGATCTCTACATCTTGTAACACATTGTTTTCGATTGAATACCCAGTAATTTTGTCTGAAAGTTGGGCGTTCTTCAATTCAAGATGGCGGCGCTGAGTTATCGGTAAAAATATATTCACCTAAAATCAACGCGATTTTCTACTTCAAAAACGAAAAACATTTAAGCTCATTTAATTTTTAATCTTTTACTTCTCATTGTTTATTCCGTGATTATATCTTTATCGGCAGCTAAACGTTTTTTGAATCAACTTAGCACAGAGACTAATGCACGCTTGTCAGAATCTACAAAATGTTTTTGGCACCATCATATGACATTATCATCAACCTGCCATTCAAGGTCGTATTAATCCATTTTATCTCGTATCGATTGCATCACTAAAATGTAAAATCAGAAGTCGTGGCATTTGTATATCTGATTATACGATGCTATTTCATAGTATTTTCAATTTTAAAATGATTCAAAGAACTTGACCTTACGCAAGTTTAAGAACAAAGTGAAAAAAAAAACTTTTAACATCTTTGTTGTATAGTTCCGGCATTCCGTAGTCCATTCATTCCTTTATCAGATGTAAGATATCATTGTTACACACGTCATTTTTATTACAAGCAGAAAACAAATAAATAAAAACTGAATAAAAAACTAATGTCATGGCAAAAAACAGGAGATATTTTGGAATTTTTCTAAGGCTTTTTGGCAAATTTGGCAATATATGCATAGTCTGGACACCTAGATCATACACCATACACGACTTTTATATTTATTGCATCCACTTCATGTTCTTGTAATTGATTTTTAAGAACATAATAAAATTGAACACATCTTGAGGTGTTGCAGTGAACTAGTCTTATACTGTACAATGTCGTCATCAGTAGAGGATATCATAAGTGGGTACACCAATTCCAAAGCGCTCTGTCAAGAACGATTTTCACAAGATACACAATCTTAAAAGTAACTTTTAATTAACATAAAAGTATAACAATTACTGAGCTACGATGTGTTTTCATTAGAATATGCCGTTAGTTAATGTGCTTGCGTTGGTAAGGATTTCCACCGTGGAGAATGAGAATGTTTTATGCTACGCTCGTTCTTATGTCTCTGAATCTAAACCAGCTTTATGAGGAGCAAAGGACACTAAAACAAATCAAGCAAAATAGCTTATAACTTGATAGAACCACGTGTGCGCAGAGAATCGCGCCTTTTTCTAAAGATAACTTTTACTTTAGAAACCATATTGTCAAGCAGAGTTCGCGCGTAATCATGCAGTTTGATTGACTTGGCAGTTTAAAAGCGTACCAGCTTTGCGAATAATCAAGCATTGCTATCTTCGCAAAAGGTTGTCAGTCGCTTTGTTTGCTTGCTCACACCAGGCTGAATCCTGAAATCTTTATCCAATTAAAACTTACTTTATAGTGCCTCCGTGGCGCAATGGATTAGCGCGTTGGACTTCTAATTCAAAGGTTGTGGGTTCGAGTCCCACCGGAGGTGTTATATTTTTATARAACAATTTTATCAGTTGATTCATATCATGGTCGCATAATTAGTCTTCTTCGCATCCTTATTTACATCCTCATACAGGAAATGTTGCCTTTATGTATTTACTCGTGCTCAGAAGAGAGATATATTACTGTCGCGAAGCTTAAAATTAAGCAAAAGCTTGTGCGTGGACTCCATTATATCGGGGTGGTCGTTACATCGGGGTGTTCGTATATCGGGGTGATATGTAAAGTAATATTAGTTCTAGTATATTTCCTTTAGAAAATCACGGTTTATTCGTTGTTAGCAAATCAATAAAAACACAGTCTTCAGAAAAAACCTTGTGTATTAATAATTTGACTTTCAATAAACATCTACTTAATGTGGTGAAAGTTGTGAGTCTGTTGCAACATTCTTTGCCTAACGAATGAGAATTGGGTCCATTCAAAAGTTCAGGACTCACTCAAAACCTCCGTCCTAGGCACGAATAATCCTATTTTCAAAAATATTTCCAAGCCAAAAACACCCAACCAAAATCCTGACAAATTAGATATTTTAGAGCCGCGCCATTGCGCAACAAAAAAATAATATACAACAGCTACAAGTTGTTATCCAGTATATTACTATTTTACATTGGATACATTGAATTCTCATGTCATAAAACGAGATCGAGTTGRCTATTTTAATTCCAGGCCAACATTTCAGTGGCTAATCCATAACCAACATGGACATCTATTCTTTTGACACTAGAGACACGTAACTCTAACATTTTTATCAAACTGATTCAGTTTTGTATTTTATCAAACAGTCCTCTTGAAGCTAGAGGAATTATATTTTCATTAGTGYCGCGTGGCATTGGCCACGCCCTTCTGTGTTTTGCGGTGTTGAATTTCCTAACCTGCATGTATAGTTCTGTATTGGTCAGCGGAGGTGAATCTTTATCCATGCGCAAAAGTGAATGGGAACGAGTGGATATCAAAGTTTATAAATTCGGTTGACGTWAATTCTAAATGTCCGTCTATCTATGTACATAGGATACGCCCAGTGTCCCAAATTTGTTTTGTTAGCTTCAAAAATCACACGACTGATTTTCAAGAATTAAAGCTAAAGTTTTGTCTTTCTTGGCGCCTTCTAGAAATTCTGACAGTGAAAGAAGCCCGTCTCTGTTTGTGTCAAAGCTCCTGAACACTTTTAGTGTTCGCTCTTCCGGATCAAGCTCTTCCCACTGAGCCACCAAACTCTTGTTAGTTGTGGGATCGTCCCCTGCCGTTCTATACAGTGCGTCGACAATGCGGTACATTTCTTGTTTTGTTATAAAACCATCACCATTTATGTCGTATATACTGAAAGCCCATTTGAGTTTCTGTTCCATAGACCCGCGTGTTGATACRTAGAGCGAACACATGAATTCTCGGAAATCTGCAAAAGGCAAAAGTAAAAAGTTATTGTGATTTCTTATTGTGTTAGGCTGCCTATGCTTAAATTTGCTTAATTTCATCAGCTGACGTCTTATTCGCTCTTAATTAGTGACACGACTGCGCATGTCCTGAGCCTATCCCTCATGGATTAGTGCTTCATTGATAATTACACAATCCCTTGATAATATGTTTCACAGTTTTTTTTGAGTCCAAATAATCTTTATTTGCAGCATTAACTCCGAAACGTCCAAGTAAAACATAGTTATATAGCTACAAGTTGGTGTTTTGTCGTGAAATTATTTTATTTATATTAATGTTTATATTTATTTTCTTTTTCTATTTTTAAGGTATAATTTTTTTATAGGTTTCTCGATATTATCTTCGTCCGCTCTTTATTAGCTCCAGCTAGTGGAAGGTAAGGTGAAGCGACATAAGGCTTTTCAATCTACC